GAATCAACTCATTGTGCTTTGCCCTCTTTTGTGGATTTCCTCACTTCCTTCAGAAGGCGCCCACCCCCCATTCGATTGCATAGTTCCCGCGCGGCGCTGCGCTGATCGATCAAATCCAACGTGAGCCAGGATATCCACGGCTTCCTTTTGTCGGAAACAAGCGGCGGAATAACTGCTTCAGCAGCGATCGCTGCCGCGGCGCGTTTCCCCCGAAGATCCCCCGCGCGCCCGGCGGCGCAGCTATAAGGGTCGCAGCGAAGAGCCTCCAGAACGGCGTCAGCAAAAAGAGGCGGAGTTCCAATGTCCCTGAGAACCTGAGAACTGTTTTGTCCTTCCGCTGGACTCGCTGCGGCGGTTGCTCTTTGTCGAGATGTCGCGGTGCACCCGTGACCAAATGGCGGCATGTTGCGAGGGCGGCGTCTCCATGGCTTCTCGGTCCATGGGCGCGGTGAAGGGTGGCGCCATCGCGCGGCATCAGATCCAAGACGTTGTACTTCGCCTCCGCGATGTCCCCCATGGGCTCCGCGCCTGCTTCCATGGAGGTCAACCTTTTTCATGTGCGGGCCGATCGTAAAATGCGCGTTCAACGAGCGCGGACCGCCCAGTGCAGAATTCCACTAGCAAGCTCCTGGTCGGGGTGTCAACCATGCTCAAGGCCTGCCTGCCCCAGGAGAAATCTCAAACTACGTCTTCTTCTCCCTGGCCTGCGTGGCCCATTCTGGCATTTAGGTCGCCCGGGATGACGTGCGCGGCGTAGGCTGAGCGCGCCCCGAAGCGTCTGTCGAGGTCGCTGCAAACGCGCAGCCTCTCTGGCAGCGGTCGGAGATTGCGGGGGGGCGTGGGCGAAATAGATTGCGAAAGCGTTTTTTTCCCCAGTCGGGGCTTAGCCATTCGGTCGGAGATTTGTTTATAGGCCTCAATCATCCGAACGACGGCAGGCGCCGCAATGAATCCGACCCCTGCCCAAGATCGCCCGTCGGCGTCAGCTCCGGGAAGTAGGAAATAGCGCGACATAGCGCCTGCTATTCTCGCCCTCGTACTCCTCCGCCTTGGCTGTCCGGGTCTCCTGCAAGCGTAAGATGTGGATATCGTGCCTCCGCGTGCGTTGGATAATCTCTACGAGCCTGACGTCAGAGACCCCGCGCGTTCCACGTGGCAAACTGGAGGTCGTGATGGGTTGCATTATGTGTGCATGACTTGTCAAAAGGGGTCGGAGGTATCTTTGCCCTTCCCGCCCCCGCCCGCCGAAGGACACGTGGCATCGTTGCCCGGCCCGCCCCAACGGCGATCAATTGATTTACAAGGATTGGGTGAAACATATCGTGTAACTCGGGCCTTATGCCCCTGGCACCGTCAATTTGGCTGACCTTTGCCGGCGCCTCTGCTCGCGCGAGCACTGCTTTGTGCGAGGCGGTCCTTCGCTTTCTGTTGGACGGCCGTCCATTCTGGTGAGCTCTGGAACTCGGCCCAGGATTCCCAGTCCGCGCCCAGCCAATGTATCTTCAAGGTGTTCGCCTCAATGGCCTCAATGGTCGCACGCATGATGTTCTTGCCCCCAGCTTTGATGATGCTGGTATCGGAATCAACTTTGAGGTAGCGTTTTGCGATTCCCAATTATGTCAGCAATCACCGCAAGCCGAGCAGTAGTGAGGAAACGACTCGCGCCTCGAGCGGGGCGTCAAGGTTGCACCATACTCTGTTGTTGCCGGCCCTGGGTTGAAGCGACCTGCCAGCAACCACTTGAAGATGAGCTTGGCTTTGTTGTGCGATGCCCAGAGTGTCAAACTGCAGGAACAAGATGCCCTTGATGTTCTCGTCTGGGGGTACCTTCTTGTAGGCTCTCGTTGCGACGAGGCGCGCGTGTGCCAGGGCTTGTTCCGCCCAGTGTTCAGCATCGGCAAGATAATATTGTGGAAGTCCTCCCAGGACGACAGTCGACGTGTCCCTCGGCTGCGCAGCTGGTGCTGCTGATCTTGGAGTTGTGGTCTGCGCGTGGTTGAGCGTTTCTTTGAGCTCATTGACTTCTTTGCCAAGGTCGAGCTGCACGTTTGTGATTTCAGCTCGAACTGCTGCCAAATCGTCTTCCATGTTGGTAGCCTGGATGTTGAGCTCTTCCACTTCTGCTTCGATGGTCGTCTGGAAGTCTCGGAGATCGAAGTCCAGATTCCGATGCCCCGGAGCCCCCGGGGATCGGAATTCGAAGTGCCGGGCCTTGGATCGCGGATCTTGGACTCCGGTTCCTGGCCTCCAGGCCCCAGCCCTGCTGGCCCCGGCATTGGCCCTGGCGGCGGCCTGGGCCCTCCCCCATCCCCTCCAAAAGCGGACAGGGTCCCCCCGGAAAGCGATGCACGCGCCTCCCAGAGCGGACCCCCCCCCCTCCCAGAGCGGACAGGGTCCTCGGCGGAGAGCGCTGCACGCCCCCCCCCCCTCCCCGTTCCCCTCTCAGAGCGGCCCTGTCCCCCTCCCCGAGCGGACAGGGTCCCCCTGGAAGCTCTGAGAGGCAGGAAGGGGGCCGAGACCGAAATCGGGACCCGATCTGGCATCCAGAGCTCCTGGGGTTCTGACTTCGGGGTCCCGGGCCCTGGATCGCGGATCCGAGACTCTCGTTCTCTGACCTGGCGCTCCTGCGACTCGGAGTTAGAAGTCTTGGGTTCTGGACCGCGGATCCCGAACTCTGATTGGATCCCTGGCCCTCCCAACCCAAACCCCGGCCCCCGCCCTGGTATGTAGCAACAACCGTGCGGTGACCTCGAAAACCTCAAGGAAATCGAGGTGGGGAGGAGGGTTGCCGATTGTCCCCAGGTTGCTCCACGCGGTCCTGGGGGCCACTGGGGGCCCCTGGAGGGGAGCGGGGGCGGGACGAGGAGGAAGAGGAAACGCAAGGCGGCTGGTTTTCGAGGGGGAAGGAGGGGGAGGGGGGGAGGAGGGTTGCCGATTGTCCCCCAGGTTGCTCCACGCGGTCCTGGGGGCCACTGGGGGCCCCTGGAGGGGAGCGGGGGCGGGACGAAGACGAGAGGGGGAAGGCGGCTGGTTTTCGGGGGGGACGGAGGGGGAGGGGGCGATTGTCCCCCAGTTGCTCCACGCGGTCCTTGGGGGCGGGACGAGGAGGACGAGGAGGGGGAAGGCGGCTGCTTTTCGGGGGGGGGAGGAGGGGGAGGGGGGGAGGAGGGTTGCCGATTGTCCCCAGGTTGCTCCACGCGGTCCGGTCCTGGGGGCCACCAGGGGGCCCTTGGAGGGGAGCGGGGGCGGGACGAGGAGGACGAGGAGGGGGAAGGCCGCTGGTTTTCGGGGAGAGAGGGGGAGGGGGGAGGAGGGTTGTTCGGGGGGAAGGAGGGAGAGGGGGGGAGGAGGGTTGCCGGTCGCCCCCAGGTTGCTCAACGCGGTCCTGGAGGCCACTGGGGGCCCCTGGAGGGGAGCGGGGGCGGGACGAGGAGGACGAGGAGGGGGAAGGCGGCTTGCTTTCGGGGGGAAGGAGGGGGAGGGGGGAGGAGGGTTGCCGATTGCCCCCAGGTTGCTCCTGGGGGCCCCTGGACGGGGGCGGGACGAGGAGGACGAGGAGGGGAAGGCGGCTGGTTCTCGGGAGGGAAGGAGGGGGAAGGGGGGAGGAGGGTTGCCGATTGTCCCCCAGTTGCTCCACGCGGTCCTGGGGGCCCTTGGGCCCCCCATAAGGGAGCGGGGGCGGGACGGGGAGGACGAGGAGGGGTAAGGCGGCTGGGCCTTGGCCTGGCCGCTGCGGCCGTTGCCTTCGCCCTGCCTCGCCGGCTCCTCGAGCAGGAGGGGGACCGCGCGGGCGTGGGCTGTCGGCACTCGAGGCCCTGGCATGGCAGAGCATGGGAGGAGGAGGAGGAGGAGGAGGAGGAGGAGGAGGAGAAGGAGGAGGAAGAGAAGGGAGGAGTAGGAGAGAGGAGGAGGAGGAAGAGGAGGAGGAGGAAGGGGGAAGAGGAGGAGGAGGAGGAGAGGAGGAGGAGAGGAGGAGGAGGAGGAGGAGGGGAGCCCCTGGGCAGAGAGCTGAATCTATGCCGCATAGACGAGCACGTTCCACTACTCGCAAAGTAACTGCTCGCAAATGGCCTGGATCCGCCGCGGGGGACCTACGAACAGTTACATCAAAGCAGACAGGTGTGTGTGTGTTTTTCTGACGTGTGCGAGTAGGCACTTTGCGAGTAGTGGAACGCGCTCGGTGAACGCAGGCGAGTGGTCGCTTGGTCGCTGACACTGGTCGCTGACGCTGCATGTGCTGATCCCTGGCGCGTGGTCGGCTCGTCGGGAGTCGCCGCTGCTGGAAGCATCACACCATTGAGGCAACACTGCTGCGAATAACCACTATATCGCTACAGGTGAGCACAAGGTAGCGTCCGTAGCATGTTTTGTCCATTCAAGATCGAGGTGACACAATCATATCAGAAATAACCTACTGAATCACGTAAATAATCTAGAGCCCCTTCCAGACCGACTTGTGGTCTTCCTTTCAGCACTCCTACTGGAACAGCCAAATAGCCAGAGGAATACACATCGTTCGCTCCTGAGTATGGCTGCCAAGCCGCATGCTGGGTCTCGGCTCAGGGGAGTCACCCACTGCCCCTGAGCCCCTGCCTGACAATACGTGCCCAGTACGTGCCCGAGCTTCCAGACGCAGCCGGAAACCGCTCGCTCCTGAGCTGGCCGCTGCTCCACCGCACGCCGTGGGCCAACTGTGGGAGGAAACCGTCCACAACCCCGAGCCCCTTCCAGACCAAACGTGCCCCCTCGACTACACGCAGGAGTGACCCTGGGTAAGAGTGACCTTTGGTGCGCGGCCTTTGGGCGCCGCGGGGGGATTCAACTCAGGCGCGCAAGACGCTACTATCGCACCGCAATCGGTGATCGGGGGACCCCGTTGTGCCCGCACCAAAAATCACTCCGGCGAAAGGTCACTCTTACGTGTAGTCGAGTCCCCTCATCTTGGGTCCCGACCGGGACGAATACCCAAGCCTACAGACGAAGAGCAAGGGCGGCCGCGCCTGGGCCAGGCCGCCGAACCGCGTGCCGGCAGTCGGCTCGGGGAGGGCACCGCCGGCGGCCTGCTCGCGCTGGCTCCTCCCTCTTTTCCCGGGCCCTCCTGCTCTCGGGTCGCCTGAACGGGGGGGGATAGCAAAGGGGGGTTTGAGAATCAGCTCACGTAGCTGATTTTCCCGGCGCCTCCCGGCGCCGGAGGCGACTAGGAATTGAGGAATCGGCCCCTCGGTGAGGCCGAAACCAGCTGCATGCAGCAAATTTCGTAACCCCCCCTTTCCCAATCCCCCCCTTTCGTCCGGCCCGATGCTCCCTCCTGGCTCCATTGCCGCCTCCTCGGCCCTGGGCATGCTGGAGATGGACGCGCACCCCATCGGCCCCCAAAAAAGCCGCAGGCGCTGAGGACACGCGTGTGCCGGAAGCCGACAGCCTGACACCACAAAACGAACTGCGGGCCGGTTTTCTCTCCCGTCCGCCCACAACGATGCCTGGGTGAAGTGTGCACCCAGGAGCGCACTGCCACAGCGCGCCTCGAGAAGCTGCTCCAAAGGCCCAGCGGTCCTGGAGCAACCAGATACAACATGAGCAAACCTTTTCGGAGGTACGCGCAGACCTCTGACAGGGTATGTGTGCGTATGCTGTTTCTTCTCCTTCTTCTTCTTCTTCGAGGTCCCCATCCACGAGAGTCTCTTCCGAATTCCGCGTCCAAGAACCTTTCGGGCGTGCCTAAGAGTCATCTCGGGCGTCCCTCGGAGCCTCTCGGGCGTCCCTGGGAGTCTCGGGCGTCGGAGAGACCCTCCCAAGGACACCCCGAAAAGCTCGTGGGGGACATCGCCAGATAGAGGCTTGTCTTGGGACTTGTACAGGAAAAGTGGGCCCTAGAAACGACAAGGCCGTTTTTTACTGGTTCCGTTTTGCCGTTTTTCCGCCGGTTCCGACGCCGTTTTTTTACCGGTTCCGTCGCCGTTTTTTGACCGGTTCTGGCTCTGGTTCCAATCCTGGAGCCGTTTCTTTGCAGTTTCCGGTCGCCGTTTTTTTGCCGTTTTCATTTTCAAGGGATATTTTGTTGGAAACGGTGAAAAAAACGACCCTGCTGTTTCCGGGGCCCAAAAAGTACAGGAAGCCCCAACATGTCAATCTCTACATGCCATTTGTTAGACCTTACTTCAACAGTATCTGAAGATAGAGACTTGTCTTGGGACTTGTATAGGAAACCCCTGAGGGCTCGCAGACTTGCTGTCGAATGTGCGTGGGGGCGCGAGGGAAGCGCTGGCACCAGGCCAAGACGAGGGCCCGAGGGTGCTCCAAGGAAGCCCCCACATGGGGTGGATATCTCAGGCTCTCCGCCGCCTCAGGCGGTGTGTGTTGCGAGCAGGAACGCATCAAAGCCATAAGAAAGCGCGGCATTGACAGTTTAGCTCCGCACACGTGACAAATGTTAACGAGCAGGAACACTGCAAAGCCCCAGGGCACTAGGACACTAGGACACCAGGACACTAGGAAAACAGGAAGACTGCAGGACACTAGGACACCAGAAATTGCGTCCAGGAGGTCCAGAAGAAGCCTCCGAATCACTGAAGAAAACTCCATGAGATGGCCAGAAGAGTCAATGACCGCGCACGGGCCCCAGAACGCTTCAAGGCGCGGCTCCAAGACTGGCCAGAGGAGCAGGGGCTCCAGAGAGAGCTGCGCCAAGTTGCTTAGCGTAGCCTCCTAGGATTGAACCAAGAGCATCGGAGACGCCTCAGCAAGACCCATGACGCGTCCTGTAACTACCCAGACTGTCACCAAGCATCAGTGCATATTTGCGTCGTCGTGAACTTCGGCCCCAGCAGAGCCCGAACCGCTTCCGATCCAAGCAGCTGGCAGCTGGTCCTCCCCCTCTCTCTCTGAGCAGGCAGCGCTGGTTCTCCCCAGCCCTCTCGCCAGAAGCGAGCTGCTCGGGCGCCTCTAGCTTGAGGGGGAACGTTAGGGAGGGACCAGCCCTGGGGAGGAAGCATCGAGCTGGAATCGGCGACACATCGCCGATAGATCGGCGCTAGGCCCCCGATGGCGAATCTGCACGTTCCTGGGCGGGGTGGGCTATCAGGCCCATGTCGGCGAGGAGTGTGCGATCGGGGCTCGGTGCGTCCTCCCTAGAGCCTTTGCCCCCTGACGTTGCCCCTGGTGGTCTTCGGGCCATCGCTCGGGCCTCCCACGGCCGTCCGGGACGATCCCAGGGCACTCCGGAGCGCCCTCGGCGAGGCGCAGCTGCTGGAAAGCACACCCGGGCTGGAACATCCAGGATGACCGACGAGCGCGCCCGGACGCCTGAAGCCGCCCCTGAGCGCAACGCCGCCTTCCTGCGTCCCGGAGGAGGCCCGCCTCCCCTCGCAGTGCGGAGCCGCTCCTCGCCGCCTCGGCTCTCTCTCTCTCTCTCCCTCTCTCGGCGAGGCGCTCGGCCCTCTCCGCGCTGTCAACCGCCTCACAGGCCAGACCTTCGCTGGCCCTGGAAGCGACAGGGGTTTCTTGTGCCAAATCCGCTTTGCATTTGATTCTGCCAGTTCTGGCGCCATTTTTTCCAAATTCCGTCGCCGCTGTTTCCGGTTCCGGTGCTGGCTCCAATCTCGGAGCAATTTTTTTGTCGCTTCCTGGTTCCATTTGTTCCTCCGTTTCCATGTTCCAGAAAATTTTGAAGACAACGGCAATTACGGCCCTGTCCGTGCTGGGGCCCACTAGGTGCCAGACCCGTGCATGTGGCGCCGTCACGTCACCACCGCCGCGCCAAGCCTCGCACGCTAAGGACGATAACCATGCCACGATGCGACTGGCTCGGGAGGCGCTCGGGGAGCTCTGGAGCTCCTGGCGGCCCTCCGTCACTCGTACTCGTAAAGACGAACCCGTGACTGGGACAGCATCGGACGAGGACGCCTCGGGGAACTCTGGCAGATCTGGAAGATGTATCGGGCGCCGCGGTCGTTCCGGAACGCTCCGGGACGCGCCGAAAACGCTCCAGAACGCTCTGGAATACTCTATTCCGGGTCCTGGGACAGTGCCATGATGCGACTGGCTCGGGACACGTTCCAGGGATTCTGGGGCTTCTGGCGGCTCTCCGCCACTCGTGCTCGGCCAGCCCGAGCAGGACAGCAGGCTGGACATCTTGGAGCGCACATCATCATCATCATCATCATCATCATCATCATCATCATCATCATCATCATCATCATCATCATCATCATCATCATCATTATCATCATCATCATAATCATCATCATCAACATCATCATTATCATCATCATCATCATCATCATCATCATCATCGTCATCGTCATCGTCATCGTCATCGTCATCGTCATCTCCGTCATCATCATCATCATAAACCGTTTCCCTCAGGTCCTTTTGAGGAACATGGCTTCCGCGAGCTAGTGCGCTTCTCGCTCCACCGTGCCCAGATCAGCTGGCCATGGATGTGCGCCCCGCTGGCCAGTGTACTCCGGAACGCTCACTTGCATGAAGGAATGTTGCTCCACAAAGCGCCTTTCTTCATCGGCACGGCGGCGCATTAGGCGGGCAGCATGCAAGCGGCGTTGGATGGCCAATGCGATCTTGAGGATGCTGGAGCCCCGGCTCACGTACGCGAGAGAGACGCTCTTACTGGCTCGCTGCTGCCATCCTCGCGGTCACGCATTCCGACTCACTCTGGAGGCTGAACTTGCCGACCACGGCCCGGGGAGGTCCGCGTGGACTGCACGCCTGATCTTTGTGAAGGTCTACACCCTGATGACTGTTCAACGTCTGCAGTGGCCCTCGCGGCCCCGGTTGCTTCGTCGTCTACTTCGCTTTCTGCATCTTCGAGGGCGTCGGCCGGTCTTTCGTTTCCTTTATCGTCATATTCACGCACGTGCGGGTGGCCATCGAGACGGAGCCGTTTCATTACATCGGCATCTTCGAGGGCTTCCGCCTGTATGTCGGTCTCAAGCTCGCCTTGGTCACGCGTTTCCCGATGGCCCTTGCGACGTGGAGGCGGTGGCCGAGCCCATCTGGAGAAGGTCGAACCGTCCGATCGGCTCTACCAGGAAGTTGACCCGATCGACACCTTGGCGGACATGGAATGCAACGTCTTCGACTTGCAGGACGATCTCGGCTCGGTCGAGAGGGACTCCTTCGCTGCTAGATTTCTTGATAGATATGGCGACGGCTGTCCAGGAGTTCTCGACTTCCCTCCGACGTACACCATTCCCATCCGAGACGTGGTGGAGCAAGTAATCGAAGCTATGAAGTACAACGGTTCCGTTCACAAGTCGGACGGCATTCTGACCATGCCTAGTTAGGCTGCAGGCTGTGCTCTGTGTGTGCGTTCTCTGTGGCATCATGTTTCAGCTGTCTGCAGCATCAGTGCGCGGCATCCAGTGCCCTCTCGTGCAATGGCATCGCTGTTGCGGCGCCATGGCGCTCACGTCATAAATGACGGGCAGAGGGCGCACACGCTGTCCCACGAATCCCTCCTCACCCTAAGCCCCGACTCTGTTTAAACAAATCATCATCACCGCCATGAGCATCATCATCATCATCATCCATCATCATCAGCATCGAAAACATCACCACCACCACCATCATCATCATCATAATCATCATGACCTGAATCATCATCATCGTCGTCATCGTCGTCGTCATCATCACCACCACCACCATCAGCATCGCCACCAACAACATCAACCTTATCACCATTATCATCACCATCATCATGTACAACAACATCAGCATCATCACCATCATCATCACCATCACCATCCTTCTCACCAATCATCACCATCATCAGCATCATCATCGCCACTACCACCATCATCACCATCAATACCGATCATCATCATCGGCATCGTCATCAGCGCCACCACCATCATCATCATCATCATCATCATCATCATCATCATGATCTTCATCATCATCATCGCCATCGTCGTCATCGTGGTCGTCGTCATCATCAGCATCATCAACAACATCAGCATCATCACCATCATCATGACCACCATCAATCATCATCATCACGATCCTCATCATCACCACCACCGCCATCCTCATCCTCATCCTCATCATCCTCACCACTACCAATCATCAACATCATCATCACCACCATTACCATCATCATCATCATCATCATCATCATCATCATCATCATCACACTCATCAATGTACCATCATCGTCGTCGTAAGCATCATCATAATAATAACATCATGAAGGAACATTATTATCAATAACATCAGCATTATCACCGTCATCAACACCAACCGTCATCCTCACCCATCGTCATCAGCATCATAATTATCACTACCACCACCACCGTCAACGTCATCACCATCACCATTTATCACTATCAGCATCATCACCACCACCACAATCATCATCTTCATCCTTATCACCATCGTCGTCGTCGTCGTAGCCATCCTCATCATCACCACCAACCATCATCAGCATTGGCATCACCACCACCAGCATCATCATCATCATCATCGACGTCGTCGTCATCATCACCATCAGCATTAACAACAACAACAACATCAACACCATCACCATCACCATCACCGTCACCATCGCCATAACTATCATCACCAATCGTAATCACCATCATGAACATGATCATCAGCACCATCCGTCATCATCAGCAATCACCCGCATCAGCATCATCGCCATCACCACCACCAGCACCACCGTCATCATCATTATGGCCTTCATCATCAGCACCATCATCATCGTCGTCGTCGTCACCATCGCCGTCATCCTCATCATTATCATCATCTTCACTAGCAGCATCAGCACCATCACCATCAGCAGCATCACCAATCGTCATGATCATCAGCATCGTCATCATGAGCGACACCACCATCACCATGATCTTCATCATCATCAATCATCATCATATGCATCGTCATCATCACCACCACTGTACTCTGATCATCATCATCATAAGCATCGTCATCGTCGTCGTCATCAACATCAGCATCATCACCACCATCACCAACAACATCCACATTATCACACTCACCATCCTCATCACCTTCACCATAGTCACCATTACCATCAATCATCATCATCATTCTCACCACTATTACGAACGCAACCACCCTCATCACCGCCAGCATTATCGTCATCCTCATCGTCTATGTCATCGTCGTCGTCCTCATCATCTTTATCAGTAGCATCATCACCATCATCAATACGAAAATCAACAAGATCATCATTATCATGATCACCATCATCAGCATTAGCATCATCATCATCATCGTCGTCGGCACCGTCATTGCCGTCGTCGTCATCATCGTCGCCGTCGGCATCATCATCATGAGCACAATCACCATCAACATCATCACCATCATCATCACCGTCATCATACCCATCAATCATCATCGTCAGCATCACGACAATCATCACCATCACAATCACATCGTCATCATACCCACCACAATCATCACCATCACAATCACAATCATTAACATCACAATCACATCGTCATCATACCCATCAATCAACATCGTCAGCATCATCATCACAACCACCACCATCATCATCGTCATCACCATCACCATCAATCATCATCATCGTCGTCGTGGTCGTCGTCGTCATCATCACCATCAGTATCATCATCAATGACATCAACATGGTCGCCACCATCATCATCATCACCATCACCGATCACCATCATCAGTATCATCATCACCACCAACATCTGCAGCATCATCATCATGATCTGCATCATCATCAGCATCATCATACTCATCGTCGCCGTGGTCGTCATCCTCGTCAAAATCATCAACAACACTAGCATCATTACCATTGCAAGCATTACATCATCACCATCACCAACCATCATCATCAGCATCTTCATCACGACCACCACCATCATCAGGATCTTCGTCTGCATCATCATCGCCGTCGTCGTCGTCGTCCTCGTCGTCGTCATAATCATCAGCATACTGCACAATTATCATCCAACAACAACATCACTATCACCAATCATCATATCATGACAATCATCACCATCATCATCGATCAGCATCACCAGCATCGTTACCATCACATCGTCATCACCATCATCATCATCATCATCATCATGATCTTCATCATCATCATCATCATCATCATCATCATCGTCGTCGTCGTCGTCGCCGTCGTCATCGTCATCATCATCAGCATCGTTATCGCCTGGGCACGCCGAGCCGAGAGGGGCTCCGCGAACTCGCGGCCGCCGTCGACGCCGGCGGCCGCGGAGCCGCGCACGCGGCCGGACGCCCTGCCGGGGAGGGCGGCCACGTCTGCCCCTCCTCCTCCTCGTCCTCTTTTCCTGCTGCTGCTGCTCCTCCTCCTCGTCCTCCTCCTCCTGCTCGTCCTCCTCCTCCTCCTCCTCGTCCTCCTCCTCCTCCTCCCACTTCTCTCCCGTGCCCCTGCTGCATCTTGTCGCGCACGTTGCTGTTCCGCTGGCGCCGAGCCTGGCGAGACTCCAGCGGCCCCTGCGCTCGGAGCTCTGGGTCCACCCCGATGCCGTCTGGCGGATGTCTGGTGGCCGATGGGGCCTTTCTGGTGGTGTGAAGTAGGGAATCGAACTCTATACACCGACGCTTTTTCCGGCCCTGCATTGAAATCCGCACTGGCGAGCGGATCCTGGTGTATACGGGACCCTGGTGTATACATTTCTCGTTGTTTCCCCAGGACACGGGGAAACAAGTATACACCACACCACCCCAGCGTCTCCCCGACGCTCAAAAAATCCCGGGATTGAAAAACAGCCCGCCACTGGTCATGTATCTGTTCCAATTTCCGCGCCTGTCGTTTCTGCATGGCCTGCCCAACGTCCACGCCCTGAGCAAACTGAAAGCCACCACTGCGCCCCGACGTGTGGTGTACGAGTGCGCTGCTGTATCGATGTGCACACGTCGATACTGCGGGATCCTGGGGGCACAAGGAGGGGGAGGAGTCTGCTGCTGCGTTTGCGTGACGCCCTGCCGTATGACAGATGACCCATCCAAGGCCAGAAGGCAGGACAAGGCAATTCTGAGGAGTTCTCATATGCCTACCAAGTTAAAAAAAAGTAAAAAAAAATCAGCGCCTGCGTGGCATCATATATGCATCTTCCCACAATGGTTGGTGCTGCAGGTGGAACTCACTCGGGCCTCGAACTGCCCTGGCCAGTGAAGGGGGTGATGGCGCTGCCAAACTTACGCAGAAAAAGCAACCCGTCAGCTACGAGCACAAGGACGCTTCTGGACATGCTGCTTCCTCACTGTCGGAACGAAGTGACACGTCTCACACCCCTGGGCACCACTCAAAAAACCTTCCTCCGAAAGAGCGAAGTCCTGTGGGGCGGGTGGGAAAGGAGGAGGATGAGCTGCAGCAGCAGCAGCAGCAGCAGCAGCAGCAGCAGAGCTCGACGAGGAGGAAAGGAGAGGAAGGGCTCCGTGCCAAAGGAGCGCTCGAAAACGTGTTGAGTTCCCGAAAGCCGCGGGAACCACCAGTGGTGGACTGCCTGCCCCCGCTCCCGCCGACCCCCGTCCCCCTTCCATAAGCACAGGCGCACGCTGTGGGCTGTTCACAGTCGGGCGTTGGCACAACCAGGTTTAGTGGGACCTGGTTTCGTGATGTGTACTGGGGGACGCCCCCCCGCCCATTCCACTAACCGGAACTGCCGTCACCCGAAAAAAAACACCAGCTACGGCAGACCTGGTTTAGTGAGTCTGGCAAATTTAAGGGCTCCAGGGCCCTGCTGCTAACCGGGCCCCGTTGCCTGGGGTCCTGGCTATGCCCGACACAGGCTCGAAGAGAGACCCACCAGCAGCACCATCAAAAGCTGGCGGTGCAGAAATTGCCCCTGGGGTCTGCAGGACAAACCCGCTAGGCGCCGTCAAACCACCCTGGGAGTTTGGCCTGCTTGGGGTCTCGCAGAAGTCCTCTGCCTGAGACCCGCCAGCCAGGAACGAGGAGGAGGGGAGGAGGAGGGGAGGGAGGAGGAGAAGGCGGCAGAACCTGACATCCACAGATTTGATTTTTCCAATCCGTGGCCCCAGACGCCCCGACCACCTTCACAGGGGCAATGCTGATCCCGAATCCGTTTTGATGGCGCTCCGCGGCCCGGAAGCGGGCCTCGGAGGGCCGCAGTCGAGGCAAAGCCCAGAAACGGCCCCGTGAGGGCCGAAATCAAGGAAAGGCCGCCGGTGGACAACAGTCAGATCGTCGGAGACCTCAGAGGCTTCCCAGAGAGGGCCCGAATAGATGGAATCGGAGGATTGCACCTAATGGCCGATGTATCGCCGATGCGTCGACGATGCATCGGCGAGGCATCGACCACGTCGGCGATGGGTCGGTCAAACATTGGCGTGGAGAAGACCTGGCCCCCACATCGAGCGGCCTCGCCGATGCATCGGCGATGCGGCGCGACCCTCCGACCCCAATGTTCTCGGACCCCATCTGGGAGGCCCAGAGATCTTGGCCCAGGGTTATCTTGCTCCCATCGTGCTTAAAGACTACATCCCGGAAATGATTTCGAACGCCCGGAAAAGTGCCGAAAGAGTGTCGAAGCAGTGTCGGACGAGAGTACCCCAGGGCCCGACACGTGAAAACCCTCGAGCTTCGGTACTTTTTTGGTGCTTGACATTCTTGTTGGTGATCCAAGTCGGAGTCCTAGAGATTGACACCAACACCAAGATCGGCGGTGTGCATCCACCGAGGGAGGAAGATCCGGATCTCGGTGATGGTGGTAATATTCTGGCTTCCAAGGTGGCCGAACTATTGCCACCAACACCGAAATCTAGGATCATCTTCCCCCTGTGGAGGCAACCCCCTGTCTTAGTGTTGGTGCCAATTTCCAGGCCTCCGACAAAGCAAAAATAAGTTGGAACATCATGAGCCCAGGGGGGCCGACGCTGGCAGCGAGCGCATGGCCTGCCCCGGGGGGAGCGAGGCCACGGCAGAGAGGGGGCGCGGGGCGGAGCGGGGCGGCGAGCGCTGCAGCGGGGGGGGGGGCGGGCGGGCGGGCGGGCAGGCCGTGCAGCGGGGGCGCCCGGGCCTGCCTGGAGGCCCGGAGGGCCTTCGGGCCCCTGGGCAGCCTCGTGCCCCGCGCCTCGGGCCCTCGTCGTCGCTGCGTCGTGCCCGCGGCGGAGGCACGAGGCAGCGACGAGGCAGCACGGCGTTCTGGGTGGGGGGTGCAGAGGCTCGGGTCGGGCGAAAGGGGGGGATAGCACAGGGGGGGGTTGAGAATCAGCTCACGCAGCTGATTTTCCCGGCGCCTCCCGGCGCCGGAGGCGGCCATGTATCGAGGAATGGGCCCCTCGGTGAGGCCGAAACCGGCCGCATGCAGCAAATTTCGTAACCCCCCCTTTCCCAATCCCCCCCTTTCGCCCGGCCCGAGAGGCGGGGGCGAAGGCCGCGAGGGGGAGGGAGGTGAGCGGCGGGGCGCACCACTCGCCGGGGCCCCGCTGCCGCGGCGGGGCGGGGCAGCGAGGCGCAGCGACTGAGGCCAGGGGAGGAGCAGCGGTGGCGCGCCACCGTTGGGAGCCCGTCGTCGTGCTGCTCCTTCGTCTCTGTCCGAGGGGCCGGTGTTGCTTCAGTAGTATAGGGCGACGAGATTTATACATATCCACTGCTGCAAGCCAGGCCCATCCTGGGGCCAGGAATACTGTATACGCCTCTTTGGCCAAACCAGGAGGTCGTATACACTACTCCTGGGCCCCGGATGAGCCTGGCCAGCAGCAGTGGATATGCACAGATTTCGTCGCCCAATACGCCGATGGGCTCTTAGTGGCGGCGTGATGCCGGTACAAGGGCAGTACACGGTCGGGAGGCATCGACGCATGACATCGGGCAACGAGCTAAGCAGGATGCGATGCATCCAAGTGCGTGGGAACAGCTCCGGCAACGAGGGCTACAACAGTGAGAATCGAGGCGACGAGGAAGTAAAGCGGTCAACGAACTTAAGGTACCTAAGCAAGTAAACAAGGGTATAGCCGAGCAGCGCGGCCACAGTGCAGCGGGGCGGTATGAGGCAACGGGGCTGCGAAGGACCACTACTGGCTACAACGAGGAGCCACAGGGCAATGGAGCCACGAGGTCACGAGGTCGGGAGAGGCCACGAGGCAATGGAGCAACTCTGGGCTGCCACAGATAATGGACAAACGAAGCTCCAACGCAACACGACCACGAAGCAACGGCGACGAGGCTAGCCACGAAGGGGGGGGACCGAGACAACGCCAGGGCAACGCGGTAGAGAGCACGACACACAGTGGAGATGTGTGGCTGTCAAGACAGGACGCCCTGCGGCAGCCAGCGGGTCACGCACGATGCGCGAAGGATGGCGCAAGGCTGGCAACGAGTGCGCCGCGAAAGGCGACCTCGGGCCTCGGGGCTCTCCCCCCGACCCGTTACGAATGACCGACCTGGCGCATCCCGCTGCCAACAGAGCTAAACTGTCGACGCACGGATCTCAGATCTTGGTGGCCCCCAAACCAGGTGGTGAGACACCCGGTGGTGACCTGAAAGCCCAGGAACGTAATTTCTAGGTTTGGGGACACAGGGTCACCACCGGGTTTCGTGATTCCCGGGACCACCCGCGCTCGAGACATCCTCGAAACACCACCCGAGTTCCCAAACCCGGTGGTGACACCAATTCGCCCCAGACTCACCACCGGGTGTTCTCACCACCACTGGGGACCCCCGAAGATCATCCATGATGCAGGGGGTCGACCGGGAACTGCTTGAATGCAGGAGTGCCTCGACGAACCTGCCAATGTCGAAATCGCACTTGTACTTCCGCCGCCCCCCGCAAGTCTTGTGCCGGCGGGCCCGCCGCAGCTTTGCTTCCGCGGGCTTCCTCCGAGGGCGAGAGGCGCCGAAGGCGAGGCCATCGCCGGAACGCCCTGTGTTTGCGTGTGTGCCCGCGCCATGCCCAGGTGCGCTCCAATAACATGCACGGGAAGTCTACGCTCGGGGGATAGCGCGGTCATGGGCGAGCAGAGGAAAGCCGCTCTCCAACAACATTCCTTCTGCATCCCTGAACAGAAGAAGCGGGTCCTGGCTGCGACGATACTTCGCCCCGGGTTCGAGTACCTGCCCTCGTTCCAACCCGATGGCCGATGAGCCCACATAGTTCTAATATATAGAATACTTTGGGAAAGGTCCGCGTTTGTAAATAAGCACACATCTATATACATACATATATGTGTATATCTCTCTATATATATATGTCTGTCCATATATATATACACATGTAGATCTACGCAGGCATACATGATGACATAATATCCGCCACGGTGCTCCCTGGCACGTCGAGGCGTGGTAAAATGCCGAGTGCTGTCTGGTAGGGAGCGTGTACATCTTCTAAGGGATCTCTCTCGCCACGCCTGGGCTGCATGCCCCCCGTAAGGAAGCTCGAGGAGGCCCCCCAAGAGGGCCCCAAGAGGCCCAACTCATTTTCACTTGGGCATTAAACGGATTTTGGCGTTGTCGCCCTTTTGGGTTGCCGACCGACCAAGACGGTCAAAGACGCCCCGCCCCCGATGTCACCCCCCTCTTACACCCCTCCCGAGGATGCCTGAGCAGCCCGACGCCGATCTGGGGTACTCCAAAACTTCCGCGACGACCCCGGAAGGCCACCCAAACCGCCAAGATGGCCAAACATTACCTCAAGAGGCACCCGCCAACTCACAAGAAGACCCCAAGAGGCGTCAACGGGACCTGTGAAGGCCAGGAGGCCCTCCAATGCGGCTAGAATCGCTCAAACACCTTGCGAAATCCATAGGTTCCCAGAATTTCTACTACATGAAAAATAAGTGTTGCGTTTCCTGGGCCTCTCGGCTGGATATGGTTCCAGGAGGGCCTTGGAGGCGCCAGCGAAAAGCCCAAAGAGCTCTACCAGGGCCGGGCCTCCTGACGCCTTCAAAACTGAGCGGGCTGCCCCAGGGAGGCGGCCAATACGGGGCCCGAGAGGGGCCGACGATTGACCACTACAGCAGCCAGGCGGCCCAAGAAGGCCTCAAGCAGGCTCCAAGATGGTCCCACAGGAGCACAACGCGGACCCAAGACGGCCATGACAGCCACCCGTGAGAGCCCTTCAAGGATTATAACCAAATCGTGTCACATGCTACGGCTTTCGGTGTTCCAAACGTCGCCACACAGAGTGCCGTGCTGGCACGGTGGCTGGACCCGCCACAGACAGCTGTAGAAAGCCCAAGAGAGTCGAGAGATATTGCCATATACGTTTTAGATGTAGTGTGCAGATAGAGCCACATAGTTGCATGTGCGCCCACATCCAGGCACAAACACACATGTATAGTTACATATATGTCTCTATATATACAGGTGTATAGATACATGTATATATATATGTCTCAAAACTATCGCACGCGCTTCGCGCGCGCGCTCAAGTTCTAGCTAGACTTGATATGCTAGCTCATGTAATATCATGTTGGTCGCTTCTTGCGTCCAGGGACTCCCTTGGAGGCCCTGCGCGAGCCTCGGAATCGTGCAGAAGGGGAAATGCGGAAACGCAGAAATCATGAATTTCGTTTAGGTGTTCAACGATTTGGGGCCCTCAAATGCTTCATAGGTTCTTTTTGGGAGGTGAGGGGGGTCTGACTTGTGGTCTGTTGTGCAAGAGTAGACCGGGGGCCAAACTTGAAAAAAAGGAATCGTGGGATTTTCTGTTTTTTCAATTCCTCGGCGCTGTTCGGCGCTGTTTTTCGTTTGTGCCTCGCGGGTTTGTTAGCTGGGCCCCTCAGGGGTGTGGGATCTTCCGGACCCCCTGGGGGTTCTGGAGGCCTCCTGGAGGCCTGGAGAGCCGTCGGAAGGGTGTCTCGGGCTGCGCGGGAGCGTGTTGGGCCATTCTTTACGTTCTGAAGGCTCCTTGGGGTCGTCTTGGGCTGTCGTTGGGCCTCTTGGGGGCCCCCCGGGAAGCCGGGAGGCGCGGTACTGGCCAGATGACAGGGGATGTGTGGGATCTCCGAGTAGGAGTCTCACTTTGGAAACAAAGAAGAAAAGGAATTCTGGGAATTCCTTTTTTGACCCGAATCGTCGAATTTCGAGAGTTGGAAGCGGGAAAACGTGAGAAGGCGAAAAACAAGTGAAAAACTATTGGTAATCAACGATTTTACCCTCTTCGGGCTCTCTCGGGACGGCTCTCGCAGCTCTCTTGAGCTGTTCTTGGAACTTCGTCGGGGTCTTTTTGGGGCCTCTCAAAGATCGGGGGTGCGTTGGGGGCCTCTGGGGTGTCCCAGAGGCCTCTCGGAGGTCTCTGGAAGCCTCCTGCTTCCGCTCTTGGGCCCATCTTGGGCCTGTTCTGGGGCGGTCTGGGGCTGTCCTGGGTGCCTCTTCGGCAATCTTGGAGCATTCTTGGCCCGTCTGAGGGCCGTCCTGAGGGTCTGTTGGGTGGTCTCGGGGCGGTCTTGGGCGGCTCTTCGGCGCTCTTGGACCATTGGAAGCTCGAAAACGCGAGAAGCCACAAACATACCCCCCCCTAAAACAAAATGACAATCGACGATTTGGGCCCCTTCGGGCCGTCCTGGGGCGCCTCTCGAACCACTCTTGGGGTCTCTTGGAGGCCCCCTGGGAGCCTCGAGAGCCGTCCGAAGGCCGACTTGGCCTGCTTGGGAGCGTCTTGGACCATCCTTTCGCATTCTGGTGACTCCTGGGAGGCGTCTTGGGCCCTCCTGGGGCGCTGTGGAGGCCCCCGGGAAAGGCCGGGGAAACGGTGCCGGGGGCGTCCCCGAGATGTCACGGGGAGGTGTGGGACCCGGGGCCGGGGGGGGGGGGCGGTATTTATGTTATGTCATATTCGAGTATACTATAAAAAAATGTCCACATGCAGACCTACATGTGACATACCCATGAGATGGATTCAAACCAGTACGTGTATACATCCATCTAAATCGTGAAAATATTTGTGGAGGGGCTAATTCTACCTACAGTGTTGGTTTCGCTTGCTTTATCGGCCTCGTATATTACGTCGTCCTTGGACGTTCCCAACCCTTTTGTTCGTTCCCAAGCCTTTTCTCTTGTGTTATCTTTCTTTCTGTTGATGTTTTCCTTGACCTCTTTCTCTCTCTCTCTCTCTTTCTCTCTCTCTCTCTCTCTCTCCCTCTGTCTCTCGTTGTGGTCAGAAGCTACTTCGATGTATATGATGGCTTTGGATGCTTCGTCATCGCAATTTGTTGTTTGTCTCTCTCTCTCTCTCTTTCTCCCTCTCTCTCTCGTCGTGGTCAGAGGCTTCTTTGATGTATCTGAGGGTCTCTTGGGATGCCTCGTCATCGGTAATAAAGGGCCACTAACGCAATGTGTTGTTTGTCTCTCTCTCTCTCTCTCTTTCTCCCTTCCTCTCACTCTCTCTCTCTCTCTCTCGTCGTGGTCAGGGGCTTCTTTGATGTATCCGATGGTCTCTTGGGATGCCTCGTCATCGGCAATCAGGGGCAACTAACGCAATCTGTTTTTGAGGCCGACTCCAGCGAGAGCTCACAGGTATCGTCTTGGAGGCCTCCGGAAACCGAACATTAGTTTGTGCACTTGCATCTATGAGTTTCTAACGTAATTGTGAATGTTGTCGGAGTGGGCTTCCGTTCGGAAAGAGTTGTTGGCCGAGTACGATGGGGGATGATGATATTGATGCCGATGCTGCTGCGGATGCTGCTGCTGATGACAATGCTGATGATGATGATGCTGATGATGAGCCGAGGGCTGATCCAAGTAGTTACGTACGTGAATATTTAAGTATTCATTTCATCATTTGACTAGTTATGTAAATAATTGAAGAATCGTTCAAATATTCATGTAGACACTTAAAGAATTATGTATATAAGCATGTAAACATTTAACACATTCTGGGTAAGGCAACGAACAGTGAAGAGGAAGCGAGGGAGTTGAATTGGGAACTGAAGGATGCTCCAGACTTCATCGCGCTCATCTGCACTCCTTTGCACTCCTCGTCTTTCCAGCGCGATCTTCCGCACTAGTCCCAGTCCTTCGCACTCGCCGGCATTTCTCGGCAGTCCTGCGCACTCATCCACAAACGTCTATAACATATTTATTTAAGTAATTGTTTGATGCGTTATTTAGACAAGTTGTATATTTACATCGATAGTGCCATATTCTTAAACTAATGATGTAAATACATAGATAATGAATTGAATAATTACGTAAATAATTCTGTTATAGACGTTTGCGGGTGAGTGCGCAGGGCTGCCGAGAAATGCCGGCGAGTGCGAACGAGTGGGGAATAGTGCGGAGGATCGGCTGGAGTGCCGAGGAGTGCAAAGGAGTACAGATGAGCGCGATGAAGTCCCGAGGAGTACGCAGAAGTGCCAAGGAGTGCGAAGGAATGAGGAAGATTGCCGAGGAGTACGAAGGTGGAGGAGCCAGGATAAAAGAGGAGAAGGAGGAGGAAGAAAACTATGAGGACGAGGAGGAGAAGGAAGGGAGGTGGAGGAGGAGGAGAACGCAGAGCAGACATGGGGGAACATTAGACTCCTTTCACCCTCTCCCTTCGATGCTGCTACGGATCTCCTCCCATTATCCTTCTCCTCCTCCTCCTCCTCATCCGATCTTCCTCCTCCTCAGGTTTCCTTTTCTCCTCTGATCCTCCTTCCGATCCTTCTCCGACGATCTTGGCCGAACAAAGGTTTCGATCCTCAGGGGTTCTTCGCAACTCACCTTGCATGTCCAGCATGCTCTGTGAAAGCTGTTCGGAAGGATGATGCTGATGATGATGATGATGATGATGATGATGACGATGATGACGACGATGATGAAGAGGATGGCAATGACGATATAACGCCGAGGACGATGAGGATTCTGATGATGTTGATGCCGATGCTGACGCGGATGCTGCTGCTGCTGCTGATGATGATGCTCATGGTGATGATGAGGAGGAATCGGGTGATGATGGTGACGCTGCCGATTATGCTGATGATGACTTTGCTAATGATGGGGATACTTAATCTGACGACGACGGTAATGCTGATGCTGATGGTAGTGAGTCTGATGATGACGATGATGATGACGTCGTCGTCGACGACGGGGATGATCATGATCAGGATGCCGATGAGCATGAAGATGATGAT